CGAAAAACAATTGTATACTATCTCTAGTATAAAAAAAGAATCAGTTGTGGGGGAAGCAAATTAAGTAACACTTTCTTAAAGTAACTGAAACTCGGTTTAAAAAAGTTCTTTATTGTACACCATTTTTTTTTTAAAGATAAGTTACTCTAAAAAAATTCTTGTAAAATTTGCGTAATTTATGGTATTGGATTTCTTGGTTAAAAAACAAAATTAAAAAGAAACATAATGCTAATAATAAAAACCAAAATATACGATATTAAAACAACTTATGTGATAACTTTTTCTGTTCATGTGGTAACGGTTTACCTGAAATTTGGATTTTCAAAATTATAGTTCTTATTACCATAAATTTTAGTGAAGAATTTTCAAAACTGAAAATTAAATTTAACCGAATAAATGGTTTTTACGCCATGCTCTAAAATATCATGATAAAATTGTCAAATTTCATCACATTTACCAAATGTCATCATGTACTCTAAAACTATATTTTATTGTTAATTTAACCAAAACGCTACGGTAAAAATTATAAATTTTTCTGGTGTTCTCATAGAGCCAAAAACACGGTAAGTTTAATCATATTCTATTAGTTTTGATCATACTTTTTTTCCCAGTGTGTGCGAATTAAATTAAACTAGAAATATTTGTATGCAATGAAAATTAAAATCGATCAAATTTTTCAGAAGTATGCTATTTATTAGGGAAGAGATTCAACTTATTAAAAAGCCTTGATAGTTAGAATAATGATGAGTTTTGAAGAAAAAAAACTGCGAGAAAAAAGACATGAAATTTTTTACTATTCAGTTTTTAAAAAAATTATAGTAAATAAAAAAAAAATTTATTATTTATTTACAAATATGGAACAATTTTTTAGAATTACTAAAGATGGTAGATTATTCTCCAAACAAATGCTAAATGTGTCATTTGTGATTATTATTACTACGCTGTAATCGTTTTAGATTTTAATGATGAGAATAATGATAAGAGAAAAAGCTAACATAAAGTCTTAATCTAATAAAGCCACTTAAACTATTTTTTATCATTAGTTTACATGTTAAAAATCAGACATCAATTTTCAGCAATATCTTTAAATACTAAGCGATAAAAACTATAAAAAATCATTCATTCGTGCTAAATGAATACTTATGAATTTATTGAAATAGATTGAATATGTAGAAAAAAAATTTCCTTTACCCAGTTTTCATAGATAAATATTCTTTTCAACTGAGATCTCAAAATAATTTTTGTGCCATTTTCGTTAATTCGTTTTCGTGTCTATGAAAGTGGAATAATGAGAATGGTGAAATTTTAACTAAAGTTTTATATGACAATAAAAGTTCAGTAAGAATTTAAATGATTCTTGATCACTAAAAATAGAATTTATTATTATATTATGGATAAATAGAACTTAATCTCGATTGCGACTATTTTTAGACTAAAGAAAGCGTTCAAAACTGTTCTAAAGTTATGCACCAGAATGACAAATTCTAACCGTTCTCTGACTTATATCACCTTTTTGCATTGGACATTTACGTATCATTCTGCTTTTAATTTGGCAATGGAAAGAAAACTGAGGTTGGTGCATAAATTCTTAAATATTTGAATTTTGGCTTATGCAAACCAAAATAATTTCAATTTGGCTTATGCAAACCAAAATTTCAGTTTCGTTAAAATGAAATTTTACTTTTGTCACCTCCGTTACTTTATATAAGTATTTAATTTAAAGTTTCATAGGTAAATGATATTGCCGGAAGCAAATCATGGCATTTTTTAAAAAATTCTTTTGGGCTTTAGTTTAGCTTTGGTACTTTTTCCATTTTTATGTACTGTTATTAGTCGAACTATACTGAATTGGACACATTTTTGGAGAAAATGATTATATGAACACCATAAGAAAACCACCTCCACAAAACATGATTACCTGTTGTTTACAAAAGAAAAGAAAACCTTTATAAATTTTTAATAAAATTCAATTGTTTAAATACAAAAAAAACTTTTGAAATATGATAAATCAGTTCTAAATTTTTAAGTGAATTAAGCTAGACTAAATCGATATAGGCTACCTAAAGGAGATTGGAGAAAAGACGCAAAAATAAGAAAAATATAAAATTAAAGAAAAAAACTGGTCTAAAGATGTAGCCGGGTAATTTAAAAAAGAAAAAAATCACTATTTTCGTATGTAAATATTGAGCACAAACTCATACTTACATACAACGTCTACCCATGACCACCTTAAATCTATGTTTTTAGAACCCGCATCAAAAATAAAAACAGAAAAGTGTACATATTATTGGCTGCAAACTAATATATCAGCAGGAAATTTACAAAAACACTTTCGAAATATAACGAATCATTACTAAAAAAAGCGGAACTAAAAACAGTTTCACAGCCAGGAGAAGCAGACTGAAATTGAAGAACGATTATTAGAAATATTTCCAGGATTGGTGATAAATTCCACCAATTCGTCGCCAGTGGTTCGAAAGAATCATTTTTTGTTTTTTATTGGCAGAAAAGTTAGTTTGTGACAGCTAATGGGGAATTTTTTATTTTCTTAACGTTTATAAATAATTCGAAAAATAGGTATAATTGTGGTCAGTTCCTGTTTTATTCCTTTATTTTAGTTATCTTAAGATCCAAAGTATTTCAAAAAAGTAATTACTTTATTTAAAAAAATCTATTTTTCAACTGTAAAGTCGTTTTAAGAATATATTTTACAGTCTTTAATATGCACTTATCAATGAGGCTACAAAACATATACTACTTCGCATGCTTTTTGACAAATTTAAACAAAATGATTTATTATGTTTCAATAGATTCGACTGTTAACTAAGATCCAATTACTCAAATGAATCTTCCTAGATTGTCACGATTTATTCATATGAGTTTAAGTTGAGTCATGAGCAAAGTTTTGCAACGTGTTCGGAATTTTTACAATTGCGTTTCCTTGGTAACCGTGGTAGATAGTAAACAAGAACACACCCTCCCCTTATAAATCTTTTCTATTCTCATCTGTCGTATTTAATGAATAAAAAAGTGTCTCATTTTCAACCATTACCCTTTAAGCATCAGAAATACTTTTAAATTTTGAATAATAGTTTTAGAAAAGATACAATATTCTAAACAATCAATGCAAGAGTTTTAAGTCATAAATCAAAACGGCAGTTTATTAATTGGTTAAATGCTTCTTTTTACGCGATGAGAAGGCAGATAAGTGTATATTCATTTGTGACAGTAATTAATGGCTGCGTTATTTTAAATTTAATTTATTTTACAACCTTTATCAAACATATGTTTCGCGAAATTAATGTCTGTCATAGCATTTTTTACAAAGTAAAATCAAAGCGTAAAAGGGACATTTAGAATTATAACTTCTGTATAAATTTAAGCTAAAGGACAAACTTTTCACATATTTTTAAATTTTTGCTTATTTCGTACGGCTTGTAGAAATTTCACGTACTAGGACTCAATCTTAATTATTTGAGGGAAAGATGCTAAATATGTTGATTATTTAGTGAAGACTATATTTTAAGTTACAAAATCAGACACAAAAATGTGCTGTCTCTAAAAAGCATAATTGGTCTTCTGACCCATAAACTATAGGGATAACCGCAATCTGGGAAATATGGTCCTAATTGTTTGGTTAGTAGAACAGTTCAAAGTTTGAATCCCTTGCCTTAATGTTACATTTACTTTCTGCATATTTCGCCATATCACGAGAAATTTTTAAGCGAATCGGAAAATTTTTGCACGCCATCGTAAAATTAGTAGTTTAAATTATATTCTATAAAAATATTATTTTTTAATAAATATTTATTTTCTATTATTTCATTTAGTAATAGTCGAAAAATTATGAGTTGTAAGAAATACAAAGTTTTACATCATTTTAAAGTATATAATGCTACATGTCAAAATAAAAAATGTGAACGAAATAGCCCGAATAGTTCTTAAAAAAATCAAATTTTAAACGTAAGACTTGGAAAAAAGATGTGTCTGTTCAAATTAAATGCGTTTCTGTTCCTATTTTCGTATTTTAAGATATTTTCTGTACTAATTCGCATATTTGAGCTCACCTCCACGTTATTTTAATTAAGTCCTAGTACATGAAGGTCCAATCATTTGATCAAAAGTTATTCGGGGTGATTAATTTTTTTCTTCTGAGCACTGTATAAAGTTTTCTTGTTTTTTCATTTGTTTCAATTTCATAAAATTATCTTTTGTTTCTACCTTTCTTTTCTTCCAAACTCATTTTAAAGTTATAATTGCTTAAATTAATTTAATTTAATTAGAAATAATTTAAATTAATTTAAAAATTCCAAAAGAAAATGACTTATTTCGTATTAATTGTACTTACTCTTTTATATTCCTTTTATTAACTTTAAATTAAATTAAAAAAATTAGATTAAAATAAACTAAAAACCGTGATAAAATAATATCAAGAAGTAAAAATAGCGAGAAGAAATAAGAATTTATAAGAAATAAGAAAATTTGAATAAATTTTTATAGACATACCAAAGGCAGTTTCGTATACATAAATTAAATCATAATAATTTTTCAGATTAATTGTTAACTTAAATTTTGAAAATTTTTAAATTTTACTAATTATAATGTGACATTAAAATTATGTTTTATGAAAATGAATTAAAAAGGTTTTAGTTCACCTTTTGAATTGCTTAAAAATTACTAAATTATAAATAAATTTAGAAGAATTAAAGAAAATGTTTTTACTATTAATGCCTCTCCTGTTTATTATTTTTTTAAATTTTAAAATATTTCTATTTAAATAAAAATCATGACATAACAATATTCAAAGTGAAAATATTACAAACAATAATACAGTTTCCTACAGATATTGTAAAAAAGTAATTATTAGTCATTAATCCCACAAAAAAAAATTTAAAATGTGAATAATTTACGAAACTAAACTATTTAAACAAATTTTAATTTACCTTTTTAATTTTTAAATAATTCAGAAAAAGAAAAATTTATGTTCAAAATTTTCTTACCAGAGTAGGAGAAATATATAATCCTTCTTGAACAATACGGCAAACAAACCCATTGCCTCGTGTATCCATAGATTGGATGGATGGACTATCACCATATGTTCTATAAACGAAGAAGCATCGCCGTACCGGAGATCAAGCGGATGTTTCCCAACAAATGCCGCACCATCCGATTCACAAAGGTTGGCATATTTTCTCTTTGGCGAACAAAGAATAAATACATTGGCGAAGATATTTTAGTTTCGGAATGAATGCCGGTTGGCGGAAGCGATTAAAGTTCCAGGTGATTTCATGTTTATAGCATAATAAAAACACCTAAGCTGACCAAGCTATCAAGTTTTTGTTTTCTTTTATAAAAATAATAAATCAAATTCGATATTTTTATTCTATTTAGACGGGTTTAATGTAATAATAATGTTTTACTAAGATTCACAAGTTTTTCTCAATTCACGTAAATTTAAAATTTCTAATCACAAGTATATCATTTACGTATACTACACGAATAATAGCAATTATATATATATATATATATATATATTTTATCTTTTTTAAANTTTTTTTTAAAGTGCAAAGCAATCAAGCAGATTAGAACAATCTTGGTTATTTGCATTTTAAATTTCTAAACACGATATATATTAGTTGCAATTATACATAAACGAAATAATGAAATGCTAATAGTTTGGGATAATCTAGATGATTTTGTATTTTTTTAAATTCTAAATTACTGGTTTTTGCATTTCTGAAAGCGCATTTAATTACGTCTACACAAATTCAAATATTAATTAAATGTGGCAAAACCATCAGATAAATTCGAGTAATTCTGATTTCTTAAAAGTTTTACATGATTAACACAGATTAAGATTTTACATGATTGAGATTTTAAGAGCTATAAAAATGAAACATTTGGATAATGGGAAAAATTAATTGAAAACAACTTAACGATTTGTTTAATTTACTCATTATTTGAAAGTTTTCAGAAAACATTACTACGTAATTTACCCGTTTTTAAAAGATTTGTAATTTTCGAATTGAGTTTTGTGACTTGAAAAATATTTTGTTTAATATTATATTTTTAATGAAAATAAATATATTTTATAAATTTAATATTAATGAAGACTGGTTTTAATTTATATTAATTTACTAAATGATTACACAGTTCCGAAAAAATATCATTTCCTTTTAGTAAAGAGCACTGATATGGTTCGTTGTAGTGGAAAGAAAAAAAAGAAGAGCATATATTCCGATTTAAAATATTCTTCTTTTAAATTTTCATTTAGCTTAAAATTTAAACAAAAAAAAAATTATGACTGAAAGCAAATATTTACTCTTAACAACACTCGAATAGACTCATTTCAGTAAGTAGAAAAACTAATTTATTCATAATATTTGTTCATTAATAAAAAAGGTAAGAAATTATTAAATAAACCTGAATGATGTATGAAACTATAAAAATAGGATAGAAATTTGTCTACAATCGTGAGTTATTTATTTATTCTTAGTGATGCAATTCATCAAATTACATTAATTTTAAAATGCATTTTTCAAATTATATTTTTCTAGTAAAAATTTCTCTAAGTACATAACGATTTTATTAATACAACGTGTACTATTGTAAAGAGGAATTCTAAAAATGGAATGGGAAATATGTATGCATTATTACATGAAGTGGCCAATTTCCTTGTAAAAATTGTTTTATTATTATTTTTACAACGTATTGTTTTAAACAGTCAACATAAAAATATTAATTTTAATATCTACTCACCGCCTTCGGTGATCAGCTTGTCCTCCTTTTTTATATAAGTAGAATTTCGAGTATTTCGAGTTTTACAATCTCACAGTCGATATCATGGTATTATTAAAATGATCAATGCAGAATATGCTAAAATTTTAAGCAAATCAACTGATTAGCACAATGGCGCTTCTGTTGGATAATAAAACAAATTATTAACTTTAATAAAATCAAACAGTGCACTTATTCGCTATTATTAATTATCTTTGTGTTAGCAATTAAACCCTTACAAATTAAATACAAGCCAATGCAGTTTATTTGTGAGGGATTTCGTTCGCCAAAGTGAAATGAACATTAACTGTTATAAGTTTCTTTAAGAATACATGGATCTAAAACAGTAATTAATACATATTAAATCGAAACAATTATATTAAAAATAAAAAATTATCTTCATGGCGCTGTTTAAGAATTTAGAAGCAGAATAAACAAAGATATAAGTTTCTACATTAAAAAGTAACAACCAGTCTTTGCATTTACAGAGATGTTTGATAGGTAATTAAAATTGACTTTTAATTGCTAATCAGTTTTATTTAAATTCAGGCCTAGATAAAATATTGTTTGCTGCTAAACATTTTTCTTTTCTTAATACTTAAACCCAGAATCTGATACAAAATTGATCTAAGCTTTAAATACGAGTTCACAAATATATATTTTATAATGCGTTTAATGCATCTAGCCAGTGTTGGTACCCAACCTCTAGTAATCAAAACAGATTATTTTTGTGAATTTATAACATTTTCGTTTAAGGGATATCAATGCACAGTTAGAGAATTACGAATTTTGGTTTAAAAACACGCCAAAGAATAACAGTTATTATCATTAGTATTTTGGCAACAAAAAGTTTTAGAATTATATTTTAATAAATTTAAACGTCTTGAAACTGAAATGCTATTTGAAAGAATAAAAAACAAGCGCATTTATTTTTAAAATTACTTGTGACGGTTAAACATAGTATTTGTTCAATTTTTGATATCTTATTGATATCTTATGTTATCTTTTGATATCTTATGCTAGACTGCGCGTTTGTTTCCAACACACATCATGTGCAGCAGTTAAACTATGAACCTAGCGAGCTTTAATTAGGGGCTTTAATTTAATTTATTAAAACCCGGGTTTTATTTATTCTCGAGATTTCATCTACTTTAACTTTTTTACACTCTTGGTAACAATTCTGTTAAAAGGATAAAAAATGTCTATAACAGAAAAATGTTGGGGAAAAAAATCCAATTGGTGAAGCCATTTAAAAGATCTCAAGCTCTAACATTGGGTTTCAACAATAGAACTTCACATTTTCAGTATTGTGCCCAAGCTACACTGTCCAACTGTGCCCATCTGTTTACTCTTTTGTCATTATAAACTTTTTAAGCACCCCTGAATTCCACAGCAAAATATATTATTAATATGTATTTCTTTTACAGTGAAAGCCCGATATTCGAAAACCATCAACATTCAACTGATCACTTTGGTGATATTTGGTGAAATAATTATTTTATATCATTAATAATCACTGTTAGTGCATGCGGATTGTGGAAGCTCGTACACATGAATAATACTTAAAGAATATGATTCTTTGAATCGGTGACATTTGGTGAAATATTTAATTTATATTGTTAATATTCACTATTAGTGCATGCGAATTGTGGAAGTTCGTACACATGAATGAATATAATTCTTTGAATCAGTGATATTTGGTGAAATATTTAATTTATATCATTAATATTCACTATTAGTGCTTGCGAATGGAAGAAGTTCGTACACATGAATAATACTTAAAGAATATAATTCTTTGAATCGGTGATATTTGGTGAAATATTTAATTTATATCATTAATATTCACTATTAGTGCATGTGGATTGGGTAAGTTCCTACACATGAATAATACTTAAAGAATATAATTCTTTGAATCGAGTATGAGTAAGATTATTAAATAAAAAATGCAAAAAATTACTAAATTCTGTACTCCGCTTCTTAGTCTTTTAAGAAATCCTAACTGCGTAAGCTTTTAAACTACGTTGTACAATTTGAAATATCAATTTCCTACATTTGTTTCATGTTTTCTATTTATTTCCTAACTAAATAAAAATTTGCCGCTGTTCCCCCTCCCCCAAGGAACTCTTGCAATTTTTCTAATAAACTGATAATTTGCCATAATCTTGTCCATTAATGAAAAACTACTAAATACTGACTGATACTTTTTAATTAAAAACAAATAAATTCATAATAATTTATAAAATAAGAGTTGTTTTAAAAATCATTAAAAAAATTATGTAAATGTATGTAAAATGTATGTAAAATTATGTATGTAAAGTTGCCTAAATTTAATATTCAAAGAATTGTTTGAATTTATGCCATCATTTTCGATGAAAAATAATTATTTTCAATTATTTGCTTTTTTTTTCAAGTTACGTACAAAAATAATCATGTGAAATTTTGAAATGAAAGTGATGCATAAAGTTTGATTTATTTTTTTTCCTTGCATTACATTTATTTAATTTTTCTTGTATTAAATAAAAATATAAATTGAGTTCGCATCTCATAACATTGATATGAAATGCACTATGATGGTTTTCTATCATAAGTACACACATGAAACAGAATTAGCATGATACTTCTTCAATTTAAGCAGATCATGTAATTTTCGGAATGTTGATTATTTCGTTACACACTGTAAAACTTTTCCGAACTTTACTGTATGATTAAGTATAAAAAAAATTCTTTCCTCTTTAGTGAATAGTATAGCTTTTGGCTCTAAATATTTATGTATCAAATTTCTTAAATTTTTTTTTCTTAAAAATATGTAAATAAATAAATAAAGTAAAATGAAATAAGCATTGAAACAAACGTTTTACTAAGCTCTGAAATAATTTCGAATCTTTACTGATGAAAGTTGGCTCCGTTTGAATTTAAAAATAATTATTCCCCTTAAACAAAGTTAACTATTTTGTTAATTTTTTAGTGTTTTTTTAAAGAAAATAATTTTTTACAATTAAAAATGGAAATCAATATTTCATACTATTTCTTCAATTAAAGCAGATCCTATTATTTTCGGAATGCTAATTATTTCGTTACTCACTGTAAAACTTTTCCAAAATTCACAATACGATTAAGCATAAGAAAATGTATTTCCTTCTTTGTGAATGGCATAGATTTCGCCTGTAAATATTCAAGCATTAAATTTTATATAACGTTTATTTTCTTAAAAATATATAAATAAACAAAAAAAGTAAAATGAAATAAGCAATGTAACAAACGTTTTATTAAACTTTGAAATAATTTTGAATCTTTACTGACAAAATTTGGCGCCGTTTGAATTTAAAAATAATTATTTCCATTAAAGAAAGCTTAACTCTTTTGTTAATTTTTTTAAGTATTTTTTTCAAAACAAATAATTTTTG